TTTGGTTTTTTTTTGACATGGAGTCTCACTCTGTCACCCAGGCTGGAGTGCAGTGGTGTGATCTTGGCTCACTGCATCCCCCACCTCCCAGGTTCAAGTGATTCTCCTGCCTCAGCCTCCCAAGAAACTGGGATTACAGGAATACGCCACTGCATCCAGCTAATTTTTGTATTTTTAGTAGAGACGGGGTTTTGCCATATTGGCCAGGCTGGTCTCGAACTCCTGACCTCAAGTGATAGTTTGATCACTTTTGAATGACCTCAATGATTCCATTATTTTCAATGGAGAAGGCTAATAAGCCAGACATCTGTACCTAAATTCCTCTTTATATTGGCTTCCACCTAGATCCTATTTTCAAACTTTACTGTAAGAAACAGCTGAGAAGTTTGTAGAAATACCAGCTCCAGGGCCCAGCCCTCCCCCAGAGACTTTCATTCAGTGGGTCTGAGGTGGGATACAAAAATCGGATTTCAACAAGCTCAAGGAGTTTCTGATGTAGATGGTCCACGGGCCACAGTTTGAGAAATGCTGATGTTGAATCTGTGAACAGACCTGTGGTAACTGTGCTTTAAAACTACTGCATATGGTTGATATGGTTTGACTGTGTTCCCACCCAAATCTCATCTTGAACTGTAGTTCCCATGAACTCCACGTGTCATGGGGGGGACCCAGTGGGAAGTAACTGAATCATGGGGTTGGATTTTTCCCATGCTGTTCTCATGATAGTGGGTAAGTCTCACAAGACCTGGTGGTTTTATAAATGGGTGTTCCCCTGCACAAGCTCTCTTGCCTGCCACCATGTAAGACATGCCTTTGTTCCTCCTTTGCCTTCTGCCGTGATTGTGAGGCCTCCCCAGCCATGTGGAACTGTGAGTCCATTAAACCTCTTTTTCTTTATGTATTTCTTTATATACCCAGTCTTGAGTATGTCTTTATTAGCAGCATGAGAACAGACTAATACAATGGGATACTATGGTGTTAAACCATAAATAAATAAATAAAATAGACTTCAAGAAAACAGATAAGCCTCTGAGTAGTGAAATTCTTACCAATCTTAATTTCTTTAGTACTTTTCTGTATTCCTTGACTTTTATGTTGAGATGCACTTTTTTTTAACTTTTATTTTTAAGTTTAGGGGTACAAGTACAGGATTGTTACATAGGTAAACTTGTGTCATGGGGGTTTGTTATACAGATTATTTATCACCCACATATCAAGCCTAGTACCCATTAGTTATCTTTCCTGATCCTCTCCCTCCTTCCACCGTCCATTCTCTGATAGACCCCAGTGTGTGTTGTTCCCCTCTTTGTGTCTGTGTGTTCTCATCATTTAGTTCCCACTTGTAAGTGAAACATGTAGTATTTGGTTTTCTGGCCCTGTGTTCGTTTGCTAAGGATAATGGCCTCCAGCTCCATCCATGTCCCTGCAAAGGACATGATGTAATTCATTTTTATGGCTACATAGTATTCTGTGGTATTTTCTTTATCCAGTCTATCACTGATAGGTATTTAGGATGATTCCGTGTCTCTGCTATTGTGAATAGGAGATGCACATTTTTAAAACCAGAAAGAAATGTTTTAAAAATGATTAGTAGCTGGACATGGTGGCACATGACTGTAGTCCCAGCTACTCAGGAGGCTGAGGCAGGAGGATTGCTTGGGCTCTGGAGTTTGAATCTAGCCTGGGCAACATAGCAAGACCCTGTGTCTAAAAATTAATTAATTAATTAATTAATTAAAACATAACAATGAGTATATGCTGTCTTGGTTTTAGTCTATGGTTCACTCATACCAGTGGACCAGAATGAAACAGAAAATATTTGAAGAAAATACACTAAAATATTAAAGGTAGTAGTAGGTTTCGGCTGAGAAAGAGATCCTTTTCTTGCTTTACTTTTTAGCTCTTTACTTGCCTTTTTGGTGGAAGAATGTTAACTTTATCTTTAAAATATAATAAGGATATTTTCTATCCAAAGTTATCATCCATTCTCAAACCATTTCACTTTGCACCCTGAAAGAAGGGTGCTTTCATCTTGAACTTCCCAGCCTACAGAACTGGAAGAATACATTTCTATTCTTTGTAAATTACCCAGTCTGTGGTGTTCTGTTATAGTAGCACAAATGGACTAACACAATGTAATTCACCACATTAGCAGAATAGAGGAGCAAAACATTCAGTTATCTCAGTACCTGAAAATAAAACTCTTGATAAAAGTCAATACTAGGAAGGCACGGTGGCTCATGCTTATAATCCCAGCACTTTGGGA